ATGACCACATTAGCCTTAGTATGTGTCTAGCTCAGTGGTATTTCTCATAATGTTGCACAAACAGCCCCACCATCCATTTCTGTAACTTTTCATTCTGTAACACTGTGACTCCTACCTGTTTCCACTAAGGCCCATTGTCTCTCCCTCCATTCCCTGGCAACCACCATGGCACTTTTTTTCTTACAGATTTATTTTATATGTTTATGAATACAAGACCTGGGATCTAGGCTACAGGTGGGGGAGGTGGGGTAAGAGGATTCACCAGAGACAGAGTGGGGAGAACAGGCAGATCTACTGAAATCCATTATGGAGAGAAGCAGTGGGTGAGACAGGAGAGGTCTGCTACACCATGTGGGTAGCTCACTGCCTGGGGATCGAACTCATGTGGCCACGGCTGGTGATATAGCCTGATAGCACTGAGACTTTAACCTCTGGGCCACCAGGGAGGCCCCACCATTCACTTTGTGTCTGGACCTACTCTCAATCACCTGACAAGCTTCACTCCCTGGGGTTCAACTCAGTGTCCTCACTAGAGCTCTGCAGAGCCCACACTTGACCTAGGCTTGCCAGTCCCATTGCAGCAGGAAAGAGGTCTAAGAGGCACTAGGATCCTCCCACTCTGCTCTTCCTCCATGGAGACTGTTTAAGGCCCAGGAAACTTCAAGGGGTCCTTTAAAAACACCTTTGGACTCTTGCCACAAAATAAGGAGCTACTTCCATTTTTTTTTTTTTTTCCTATTGCAATTTAGGGAAATTGTGTTGATATAAAGTAAAAAAAAAAAAAAAAGGGTGGGACTATTCGAATTTAACTAATGTCTACTACCAAGCAGGATGAAACTTGTCTTTGTTGAAGAGGGAGTTGGAGGTTAAGAGGTAATGTTCCCCTACAGGTTGTGATTTGCACGCAGAATTTCCAGAGCACAGCATTTCAGCGGGAGAGCTGGAAAGAAGTTTGAGCTGATCACAAGCAAACTTCTCAGGTGCAGAGGGACTCGACCACTGAGACTGTACTAATAAGTGACAAAAATTATGTTGACAATAATTTGATTTTTTTTTTTGCATTAAAGTCTCTATTGATATGGGATGCGTAAATTAATACTCTTAGGAGACCTGCCTGGAGGAAAAACAGAATGCGGATCATGAACCCTATTAACTCACACGTCCCAAGCTTCCCATGAAAAATTCCTGAGGGAATGGAGAATGTGGAGGATGTTCGAGCACATGGAAACTTGGTAAAGCACTGAGCAGTGTGTTTTATAAAGTTGCACGGCAGAGTTCTCAACTGATTTGATAACTGAGAGATTTATGTCTCTACCAAAATAAGATACACAGCAGAAGAATGACTCTGCTAGCCTTTTCTGGAAGGGGAATGATAAGTTCTCTAAAGACATTGTTTACTTTGCCGAGTTATCTATTTTTTTCTGTAAATCTTCCACATTGCTCCAGGTTAGGATGCCGAATCTATTGTTCCCATCAAATCAATTTCCCCACAGAAAGAAGAATGCAGTAAATACTGTGCTTAAAATTCATTGTTATCTGTTAAGGGCCCAACTCAACAGGAATCATTGAGATTAAGAGAGACTAGGTAGGTAGAGAAGGTATAGAAAAAAAAGATCCATGCTCTGATTATTTTCTAATAAAACTGCTCATTCTATCAGAAAGTGGAGAGAATTAAATATAAGCAGGGAGATTTGTTTAAACCCAATTTCATTACTATTCTGGAGGTTGCTTTAGCCCTATTCTGACATCAGTTATTAAATAAACAGTGATATTTTTGCAGATACGAAACAGCTGAGTGAAGTTACCCATATCTACAGGATCATTCTCTACTTAATTTTAATGTACAAAGGTCGAGAAAATTATATGGCTATAGAATGCATTCACAGATCGCATGAGCTTGAAAGTGCATGAAATTGTCAGAAATATAACAAAGTTTAAAAAATTAAAATAGAAAATAAGAATAGCAGCAATTTACTTGAATGCCTACTATGTGACTGGGACTTCACCTATAGAAACCTCTGTAAACCTTCCAAAATGCTGCAAAGTACTTAATATCCCTATGCTACAAATGAGAAAAATGAAACTTATAACAATTATCCAAGATTAAATAAGGTCTTATCCATGGTTAAATAAAGCATAGAACCAAGATTTTACCTCTGTCTAATTCCGAACTCCTATGTGCTTTTTCACTACTATGCTCTGTTTCACACTACAGTTAAGGAGCTGTCAGATGGAAATGCATAGATTCCAGTTTTCAGAAATAAAATTCCAAATCCATAACGAGAGGACGTAAATTCATTTCAAGTGTCCTTACATGCATGCTTCTCTAATCAATTTCCTTGACAGAATTTGAATCTGAAGTCCATTGACTTTGTTACTCTAAAATGAAAATAGAAAAATCACTATTATTTCCTTTGCATTTATTGAGCACCTGCTGTGGCCCAGGCATACTTTCAGAAGCTGGAATATGAAGCACACGGAATTCAGTCTCTCTCGTTAACACTTAAATGACTGCCGTTGTGACCACTACAGCCAGTTTCCAAACGTATTGTCTTAAAAGGACCGCTAATACAATTGTTAACTCTTAGGAGGCATTTAACTTGCCTCCACTAAACCCACATGCCAGTGAACCAATAATGCAGAAAAACATTTTATGCTGCGTTTTGGGGTTTGGTTTTTAAGAGTTTCAAAACTAAAAGTCAAACAATATTGAAGTTGAGGCCAGCTCTGCGCTCTGCTTCCATCATGGACTAAGCTTCTCTGAGCCTCGGTTTCTTCATGGATAAAAATTAAGATGGGGGGCTTCCCTGGTGGCGCAGGGTGTTGAGTGCAGCACTGTGAGGCTGTCCACAGGCCTTTGCAGCATGAGTTCGATCCCCGGCCGGCCCCGGGGAGCAACCCACATGGCAAGACAGACCTCTCCTGTCTCGCCCGCTTCTCCCCTCAGCAGTGTGTTTCAGTACATCTGCCTGTTCTGCTCCCTGCTGTCTCTTGTGAATCTTCTCACCCACCCCCTGCCGTGACTCTGGCCTGTACCCCACTTCTTAAAAAAAACTGAGGTGGGAGTAACCCTCCTACAGGGCTGAGGCTCAGATTCTTCTGCAAAATATCCAGGTCCAGTTTCATCTCCAGCCCTTCCTGGGCACACTCAAAATACCCTGGGGTCCCGCCTCTTTGGATTATTTGTTTGCTCCAACATGCCAGTGCTGGTGTGGCTGTTCTGTTCCTTGTCCAGGAAAGCTGTGCACTCCCTGCCTATGGAAATCTCTTTCACTTAGAAACCATCTCCCTGATTCCCACACCGTGCCTCCCTTTTCCTTGAACGATAGATTATCATCTGGACTGTCGCTTGATGGTTCTGTTTCCTCCTCTGTACACCACGCCTAGTGCCCTCATTAGTAAATGCTGAAGGAGTGAATGAATCTCTGGTGAGCACGGGGCAGGGTTTGGGCCAAAAGGTCCTTCTTCTTCGATTCCCTTCAGTACTTACTTCAGTTGTGCAAAAGATACATATACAAAGTGGGCCTCCCTGGTGGTGCAAGGGGTGAGGCACAGCACTATGAAGTGATCCTCGGCCTCTGCAACGAGTTCGATCCCCCGGTCTGCCAGGGAGCTACCCACATGGTGCAGCACACCTCTCCTGTCTCATCCACTGCTCCCCTCAGCAGTGCATTTGTCAGTCTGCCTGTTCTGCTCCCCACTCTGTCTCTGGTGAATCCTCTCACCCCCCATCTCTGGCCTGCACCCCAGCTCTTGTATGCATAAATAATCTTTAAAAAAAGATACATATACAAAGTAATTTTAAATAGTGCATCTTCCAGTGATAGGATTCTTCACCATTTAAAATTGTTTGTAGGACTCCAGCGAAGAAGTGATTTTGAAGGAAGATAAGCAGTGACCTCTGAATGTTTTGATTGCAAACTCCTATCATGAAGTGTTTTAAAAAAAGTTAAGCAAATATTTTCTATTTTTTGTGTAAATATACACAAAAGTTTAGTTAACCCTCAGTAGACATATACTTATTTAGGAAATATATGATGTGCTATTATATTAATGTGTCTATTATTACATACAAAAATATAATTTTTAAATAAAGACAAAGTTTTAATATTTTCTTTTTACACCCTAATAAATTATCTGGTACAAGAAAAGACTAATCTTGGTTGAACAGCTCTATTTTCTGGTAGATGAAAGGAAATTTTGTTTTCCTACTCCAAGATTTTTCCTGATGTTGACCATTTCCTCTCTCTTTTTGGAGTCTTACAAGACCACCAGCATTCTGCAAACATGAGTGAAATAAAACAGGAGGAGAGTTTAGGGCTCTGGATTCTCAGTCTGGAAATGTCACAATTTAATCTCAAAGTTTGCTGTGGGGTTGTAAGTATGACAGTGTGAAACTCGACAGATTATTCTTGAATTCTTTGTTTGTTTTCATTGTGACCTGACTCTCATAAAATTTATTTTTTTCTTCAAAACCTCCAGGATAAATGGTCATATGATTTCAATGAAAAGAACACTGTCAAAACAGTGTTGAGGAATTATCACATTTATATTGTTTTCATTAAGCAAAAAGCCCTAATCTTCAAAAAATCTAATACTATAGTTTCTATATGCATAGAAAGGAAAAAGTTAATATTAAAGCAAAGAGTCTGCAATGCCTACCATGTTAAAAATATCAGATGGACAGTCTCCAAAGATTAACCATGCATATTTCTGGATGGTAAAACTGAGGTTAATTTTTTTCCTTTTTGTTAATTTTTATAATTTTCCAAATAGCCTATAATGGCCAAGTATTTTTTTTTGGGGGGTCAAGTATTTTTTAAGAAGAGTGTATATGTAACTAATTGTAAATAATTTACATAGATTTCTATATTACAAGCTTCCAATAGAAATTTTTAAACACCTTCTGGCAATTTCAATGTTATTTTGGTTTTACATGAGAAAATTACATTTTAAATCAAATGCTTCATATATGGAAGCCTCATTTATCTCGATTTTAGGTACACTTTGGAATGGGATTACCAAGTGAGAGAGAAAACATGTCCAGAGAAGCTTGTAAAAATGAGGGAATCGAGGCAGCAAGAGATCAGAGGTGAGTCTACCTGGAGAAGATTAAGATTTTGGAGAGCCTCATACAATGCAAACATGGGATTGTCCTTATTAGGAAAACAATTTTATAAATAATCTGTAATCTTTGGCCTCCCCATCTTTTTATTCTGGCAGAGTCTCCATTTTGCTCAGGTGTCCATCACCCCATGTGCCCATCATTAACTCTATATGATGGTCTCATTCCCCATGTCATTGACTTTTTAGGCAATTTCTGACCTTGGGAACTAAAATTCTTCTGGGAGCATTCTGGGTAAATTTTCCTTTCCTTATGAAAGCTGAATTAGATATTTAAGTCAACTACTGAAAGGCATAAAAGAACAACGAAGGCAGACAAGACTTGAAACCCAAATCCTGGAAGAATAGGACACATATTGAAAGAAGAACCATATTTGCTTCTACTTCCACCAACTGATGGTGTGGGGAGTAAAGCTGGAGCAAAAAATGACAGCTGGGAAGGAACAATCTCACTGGACTCGGAAGAATTAGGGTTTGGAGGGGATGAGTAGGTCGAAGTTGAAGTTTGGAGTCTAAGATGGAAGGATCTTGGTACAGTTCAGAACCCAAAGGACTTATTTTGGGAGTGAGGATCAAGCATAAAAACCAGACAAACCCTAAGACTTACACAGGTCAAGTTGATCTGAAAATATCCTATCTGCCTTCCAGAAAATAGTGAACTCCTCTTTGGATGAAAATATCATCAGCCAGAGATTTACACTTTTTCTTACACAATGTCTGACATTTAATAAAAATTTTACCAATTAAATGAACAAATGGGTTAGATGACCTCACACTGAAAGAAGAAACAGGTAACAGATGTATACATGAAGGTGATGAAGATACTGGAATTTTCAGACAGGAATTAAAGTAACTCTGATTGACATATTTAAGAAAGTAGGAGATAAGTGGAGGAATTCATCAGGAAAAACGATAGGAATCTTAGTGGGGGGGCTTCAATATTGAGCAATATGGTGATTAACTGGGTGTTGTAGAAATTCATCAACCTGAACATTAAAATGTGTGTGTGTAGGTTATACTTTTTTTTAAAGATTTATTTATTTACTTATACAAGCACTGGGTACAGTCAGAAGCGCGGGAGGGTGAGAGAATTCACCAGAGCCAGAGCGGGGAACAGAACAGACAGACTAAGTACACTGCTGAGGGGAGCAGCGGATGCGGCAGGAGAGGCCTGCGCGCCATGTGGGACCCTCGCTGGTGGCCGGGGATTGAACCGGCGCTGCAGAGGCTGTGGGCAGCTTCACAGCCCAGCGCTCAACCGCTGCGCCACCAGGGGAGGCCCTGTAGGTTATACTTTTAAAGAAGGAATTAAAAAAAATTCGTAAATAAAATGTTTAACTCCTCTTTGATAGGCAGCATCATAGCTACACGTGATCTTTCAAATTAATGAACTTCCTTGAACCATGAAAGAAGATACTGTCAGCAAAGTACAAATACTCCATACAGGGGTGATATGGGTCTGCAGACTTAAAGGGCCTACTCGGCCACCATCTTGGTTACATGCATTTCTGCATTCAAATACAAGGTCAGTCCAGACCAGTCAATTAGTTACAAGGCTCCTTTCAAATTTAACAATAGCAGGATGCTTGATCATCCTGGAACAATGGGTATGCATCATGAAGTATGACCTGGAACACCCAGAGGGCCATTGACTGGCGCATGACACTGCTATCCCAGAGACTGGTCAGCAGAAGGCCTTGTCCATAAGATTGGAACCATGAGTAGGGGGTCTGGGGTATGGTTTCCATCTCAATACTGAGTCATCAAGCAGAGGTAGCAGACTCACCTTCTGCCCAACACCCTACCCCAAATTCTGGAGACATATGCACATTTATTCAGTTTCGCCTAGCCTTTTTTCTTTGTCCTCCTATCCTGCATAATTGATACTGTATTATTATTCTATAAATAAACCAAGCTCAAGGAGCTTGGTTCTTGAGTAGCGCCCTGCATTGTAAAGCAAGACTCCCATTTCTTTGACAATGTGGTGTTGCTGATGCAACAGGGTGATGTATCAAATATTTAACTCCAGCACACTACAGGCACCAACCAATCAGAATGTCCACCAACTGTAAGTCAATTAGCGTATCAAACTGGTGTCTTCCATAATTTATAAAGTTAGGAAGCCACAGAATGAATTATTTGAGAAAGTCCTACAGATAGTTAAAAGAGTAGGGTCTGGAGTGGGACAATTCTGGATCTTTCACCTAATGTTTCTGTAACCTTTAGCAAATGGCTAAACTCTCTATGCCTTACCTGCCTTGTGTCAAGTTGGGGACACATCAGAAAGTTTATATAAAGGGGTAAATGAGTTAATAGATGTTAAGAGCACAGAATAATACTGGGACTAATTCTTAATGTTATTTCTTGAAGTATTATTATTATCATGGATTTTTGTTATGTGAAATAATAACCTTTCCTATATCATCCCAACATATTCTCATAACATTTAACATAGAAGTATGAGGCAATCGCTAATTGGCTTTAAGGCTAATTTACTTTATTTTTATTTTATTTTATATAGATTTTTAAATCATTTTTCATTTTTGCACAATGTATGCATTTTCATCTTGGTTATAGTCCCCATACAATTACCACCTCCCTTGTTTTGATCCTACTCCCTTCTCTACCCACCCCCCGTAGCATGTCTTTGGTTTATAGTTGCTAGTTGATTTTGATTTTTACTTTATTATTATTAGTCTTTTTCCTCTTCCCTTATTTAGGTCTTCTAAATTCTTGCTGAGTGAGACCACCCGGTATTACTCAGCTATCAAAAAAGATAAACTCATGGAATTTGTAGCAACATGGATGGAGCTGGAAGGGATCATGCTCAGTGAAATAAGCCAGAAAGAAAAAGGCTAATTTACTTTAAATCCTTCATGAATGCTACTTTTCAAAGCATTGTATCAGATCTGTTCTTTTCCTTTTTCCTTCCCAAGAGTGCACCTGAACACAGGTATACTGCTGTCACAGTACAGACTCCCCCACATACCTGCCATACTTAAACAGAGATTTTATGTATACCTTTTGTATTATCATGCCTAAGACTTTGCAAAGCCCTGTTACCATCATACGTTGAACCACGGTGCATCTCACTAACATTGCTGTGAAATGTGTTTCCCTAGCCCAGTACTTTTCTCTGGGATTCCTGCCAGCTGGTTTAGTGGTTGCTCTCAGTCGCTGTGTATGGCTAGCAATAACCATTGCAATACTTCTTTCCTATGACTTGCTTCTAAACTGTCAGACTTTTTCCTTGTAATTCCTCTTCTGGGACTCTTAAAGAAATAATCCCAAGACAATCAATCAAGCAAACAAAAGATATGTTCAGGAAGATGGTCATTGAGGGTTATTCTAAAGTAAAAATTTGAAATTAATCTAAGCTCTCTAGGGTAGTGGAAACCATCTAAGCTAATTTCAGAAGGGGTGCATTAGTCCCCATAAAATAATATATGACTATCTCAAGGAAAGAATTGGGGATGTTTTTATGGAATTATCTAATTATGAATTCTATATAAATAATAAAGAACTAGGTAAGTATTATGTAACTACACAGAGTATTCTGTAGTCACAAAGATAGAAAGCAACATGGAAAATAGTTAATGATCCAGTACTATATAAATAGGCTGTGACTTATGTAGAAGATAGAAGTATAACCGTGGGTAAAAGCATTATAGGAAAAATATACCTAAGTGCAAAGGATGGCAGGTGTTGGGTAACAGGACCACAGACTTATTTCATTGTATCTTTTCACTGTAGAACAAATTCTCTATAATAGAATTGGGTTTAACCTATCAGCACCAGACTTACAAATTCTGTTAATTAAGTATACATATGATTTTAACATATTGTATCATCCTGAAAATATAAAATTAAAATCTAGAGTACTGAAATAAAGCTAGGCATTGTCTCAGTATCTCATCTAAATATGAGGGCCTCATATTTAGAGGTGGTTGAGCACAGTGCTGTGAAGCTGTCCGCAGCCTCTGCAGCGCCAGTTTCATCCCAACCGGCTGGCAAGGGTCCCACATGGCACAGCAGACCTCTCCTGTCTCGCCCACTGCTCCCCTCAGCAGTGTATTTCGTCAGTCTGCTTGTTCTGTTCCCTGCTCTGTCTCTGGTGAATCCTCTCACCCTCCCGCGCATCTTGCCTGTACCTCAGTTCTTGGATAAATAAATAAATCTTAAAAATAAATAAATAAATATGAGATGCCTAAATTCTGTGCTAAAAACTGCCCTTTTGTTAATTTCATAAATGCTTTCTTACAGTCAACTTCTTTATGTGGTCAGTTATGGAAGGTGGTCAAAAAACAGGTAAAAAATAAAGAGTAAAGGGATTCCCACAGCAAAATGAATGTCCTTGGCCACACCCTTTACTCACAGGCTTTTAGTAAGAGCCTGTTAGGCTCAACTAGTTAGAATTTATGGTCACAGCACGTGAGAAGAAGGAAATTGGAAAGTGGCTGGGTTGCAAAAAGTGACATCTGCCAGCCTGACAGTAAAGTCCAGAGGTGGAGAAAACGATTTAATATTGGGTGCCAAGCATAACTACATTTCAGCGTTTTCTATGGCAGTTGGCTCTGATAATGACATTGGAGCTCTCAATAAGCAACATGCTTATTCTGCATGGGATGCTGTCTGGTCAGAGAAGCATGGAGAATATACTAGAAAGATTTCCACTTAATATGCTTTCTTTTTAAAATATATTTTTGGTGCTTGTTTTGCGTGCGCGTGCACACACACACACACACACACACACACACACACTTTCAAGGAACTGCTCACTCTTCCATCATAGGCAGTAAGTGGCTAGTTATTCTTGAAAGTTCCTGAAAAAAATGTGGCAATTTGTTGAAGCCATTCTCTCCTCAAATTTCCCTCATTTTGCTCTGTTACTGATAAAGCACTAAGAACATTTTTTCCCCCAATCTCAAGGCTTGCAATACTTTTTGGTCTCCTTTTCCATGCCCTCCC